ATTAAATCCGATTTATAGGAAAGGTTACTGTGGAGAGCTGTATTACGAAAGGTTATAGATTAGTATTAAATTCAGTTAGATTAACAATTAATTTATAATTGATAGCTTTAAAAAAACTTCAAATCTATAATAATTTAAACTTTTTCAAGCACTAATGACAAATGAAAAATTTAAATTTAAAATTATTGGTATAAGCTTGTAGTAAATTAGTCAACTTCAATTTTTTAACTGCTATAAATAAAATTATATTTTCGAAGAATTATAATGATAATGGGACATTGTAATTATATATATTTAAAATAAATTCGTTGTATATCTATTTAATATCATTATTAATATCATTTGCATTTATATATACTTAATATATACTTGAAGTATAACATTTTACTATGTAATAAATTTGTAGATAAACTTGATATCTCCAAAAACTTCTATACTGCTTCTATACTAATTTTCAATATTCAAGTCGCATAATTGTTGCAATATAGTTATTAGCATATTCGTTATATTTATTAGTATATTCGGTTTTGCATTTCAATGCTTACTATAATTTTTTTAATACGTCAATAATTTGTACCTTTGATGTTCGCTCGTTTATGTCTTTGTGGCGTCTGCAGTTGTTAAGTAGTTCCTCGCCGGTTGACACATCCAATTAATGATTTCTTTACTACTGCAGCGTGCATCTCGTATGAATGATTTACCGTTATTCCCGTTGGCGTGATTTATTCTTCGACTGGTGCCCCTTCTGATCGAAAGTACAGAAATAGGATTCTCAATGGCACGGTGTCGCGCAGATGTCGTGGAATAATCTCGGTGCAAATCTCCTCTCATGAATAATTCGTCGAGACATCGATCCCTACGTATATTTCCTGTCGATCTACGTAGATTTCGATGATGTTATAACGACTCGCACTGCAATATGAAACGTGATCGGCACCGATCGCGTGTGTAAACGTCGTTTGGCGACATCGTTCTTCGATCGAGGCGATGCCATGGTTGTGGCGACGATGCACTCCCGAAGGATAGTAAATTGCACTTCACGAATTAGAGATCGGAGCACTTGATTTTACACGGTAGATTTATTGCAACTCGGAGATTTTCAATCTAGATCGTTGCCATCATGAGTACAATTTAATGCAACTCACTGATCATTATTAAACTTGATTTATGGGATTACTCACGTATTGAATTTTCGGAAGGTAAAATAATGCATTTTTTGAAGAAAATTATTTAATGAAATGATGTAAAAGATGTCACGTTTGACATTTTGATTGAAATTTTATTTTAAATATTTTTTATTTCTTTTCCAACGAGTAAAATGTCATTCAAGACGAAAATGTTCAGCCATTATTGATTTCTTTGTTTAGAGCAATGTTTTGCTGTTAACAATCATTATTTCAATCTTTAATAAATAGCAGAATAAAAAGCGTTATATATCGCAAAATGAACGAGAGAGACAGAGAAAGAACGGATCCACGTCGAAGGAATATTTCCGTATTTCCGTGAGTTTCTCTCGGAAGAAACTGCTTGCCGTCTCTTTTATCATGGAGAAATTATGGCCCCGCTGTGACAAGAATTCAGTCCAGCAAGATCCCTCTGCTTTCCGTCATTTCAGCTGGAAGAAATTCGTAACGCCGCTCAACGTGCGCGACAGGGATGGTAACAATGTCACTGTTAAATTTGCAATAATCGGGTTAAAAATATCATTGACATCCTCGTACTAGATGACTATACGTTTTATGGCGATCTGCGGTAAAAAATAATAATATACTCCAATTTTGCATCTAACATATAATTAGGATAACTATATATGACAGAGAAAAAGGAATTGTAATAAGAATTGCAATGATTTAAAATAGAATCTTTTTTAAGAAAATAGAAAAATACAAAAGATTTTTCTTCATAAATTGATACTTGAAAGATATCCTTTTCGCTTATTTTTTTTTTTATATATTTTTATATATTTTAAAAAAAATATAAAACAAATTACAATTTAAAGGAATTTGAAATTCAAAGATTTATAATATAAATTTGTACTGTAATTTTATTCAGAAAAAAGGATAGATCACGTATTACATTGGGAATCGAGATAAATTATATATGACAACGTATGTGTGTTGCAACATATGACATTTACAGATATATGTATATTTATATATAATATCGTCACGTCCGCTGAAAAAAATCAAAAGATATCTATCTTCAAATCTACATTTAAATGAGAAAACTTTCCTGAACGTTTCGTTTAAAAAAAAATTATTTTTTTATATTTTTTATTGTAGGTATTAGAGTGGAATTTTGGTTAGTCGTGTAATGTGCAACCTGTAAAATTCTCTCTTCCAAATGGTCAGGAAAAAATCCACTTTAGATTCCCGAATCCCCAAGCAATATCTCGAGAGTTTTACTCACGTGAAGTATCTTTCAAAGATCTGAAAAACGCAAAAGAGAGAAAAAGGGAAAAACTTTTCCTGAAGACTAAAAAATTCTATTGATAGCGACAGTCCGTTTACGTCATGCATATTTTGGGGGAATGCCAATGAATGCGAATGAATCGATAAGTCTAATTTATAATTTGGTGAAAGGCGACTCGCTCACATGGAAAAAATAAAATTAAATCAACAAACTTTTTCTCGAAATAATCACAATGTTTCTCAAGTTCTGATTGATTCACATGATTAAATTTTTTTAATTATTGAGTTTTATAAATAAAAAAATTGTTTTGCGCAATTTTATAAGTTATCTATATGCAAGATATATTTTAAGAAAACTATTTAATATCTTTTATTAGTAATTTATAAAATATACTTATATAAAAAATTAAACTAATGTTAATTTAATTAAAAAGTAAAATTTATCATTTTCGAGAGTTGATTTGTCAAGACTTTTTATCGCGACGCGTAATTGAACGTTTATAATGAAAGATATAATAAAACTATTACATTATCTTGAATTATAGAATTGTACCAAAAATTATTAAAATATTAGTATTTTCAAGATTAACGCGTATGAATGACAAAAAATTTTTTCTCGTGAAGATTATTTGCGAATGTTAGGATCCGACAAATTCTGACGATCTTCATTGGTGACACCTTTCTCGAGCACGTGGACCAATATACGATGATCGAGTATTCGTCTCGCGTTCGAGTGGAGTATGAGTAACTGGTGAAGGTCAGCCAGTATGAAATCCAAATGAAAAGCGAATATTGAAGCACCGATTCAGTTTATCGTTGTTTGCCTCGGAAGATTAACTAAGAGTCTCAGTGTATTTCTATGTTGATCAAGGTAACCAAAAAGTGAAATATAAATTAGGATTTGTTTTACGATAGTTACTCCTATGATCTCGTGGATTCATCTGTCTTCGAGGACGGTGAAATTAGATCATCTGACTTTGAGGACGGTGAAGATCGTACAAGTTTGTTGGTAAATGTGTGCACGTGCAAATCTATGTATGTGATATAATACAATAGATAAATTCAATTTAAAGAAAAAAAATTGCGAATAAAATAAATCTTAATTAAATGTAACAAGAAAAGTTTTGTTCTTTTTCTTGCACATTAAAGTACATACTTATAAAAATATAATTGTTATTAATAATTGATTGTTGATTTGAATAATTGACTCTGTTAGTAATTAGATTTAAAATGATAACGTTATAAGTACGTAAAATTAATAAACTAGAACTTTAAGGGAAATTTTTATCCGCATATGTGTTAGCATCGTGTGGCTTTCATCTTTTCACGGAAAACACATTCATCTATTGGCGTGTGGATGCTTTTGCTTGCAACTCTCTGGTCGACATACTCTATTAAGCATTATCACACATATATGTGCGTAACGATGTGTATATAATGCATATGTATGTGTACGGAAAGAAGGACAGTGCATCGGTGTTGATACGTGGAAAGCGGAAGAGGGATAAACTTAGATATATTTTGCACAATGCATAATTAACTTAGGTGCTTTGCCACGAACCTGTGGTGTATCATGCAGTGTGTATTCAACAAAGCAAGTTAATAATTCGCAAAGGCTTGTTAACCGAAAATGCAGACAAAATTTTCTTCTTTGCTGCTTAATATAATATAAATTTCCATTAAAATGCAGGAATCCAATTAAATATTCGCAAAGAAAGTAACAAGAAACCCGTGACTATATGTTTTCTGAATATTTCATTTGAAACTTTAAAGTTATTTAAAATTTCATTACTTATATTTAATTTTTAATTATGAAGAAATGTCTTTATAGCATAATAAAGATTTTATATCTAAAATTTTAATTTTAAACTTCTTTCTTAATTTTTTAAGAGTAACGCAAAAGTTTCTAATTAATATTGCGCTTTTAGACTTTTCTTGAAGCATCTTGAATTTTAATAACTATTGTTTTAATAACATTTTTGTGCAAAATTTAATTACGCATTAATATGTAAATATTGACGTACTGGATATATAGATAAAATTAACGATATAAAAATATAATTAATAGAATCAAATTTCAATTACTCTCTCACAAAGGAATTATATATTAAGAACTTTATATCCAAAATTTACTTTTACCTTTCACCGACACAATTTACTTTTACCTTTCACTGACACAATGTCCAGCATGTATCTGATCTCGACCCGAATTCGCGATGGCGACCCTACCGAGATTTCGTCAAACTCACGTACACCAATACACACGCGACTGTACACAAGGACAGGCGATACAATAAAAGCGAACTTGGTGCGGTCGAGTGCCGATCTGCGTGACATTCTACCGTATAATCGGTGCGCCGTAACTCTTTCCCGCGATCCTCGAGAAATTCGCGTGGTACATGTGGTTGGGCGACATTCTCCAGCTGGCTGCTGAAGGCCCAGCATCGTTGATCTCTCGATTTCGTGCGCGCGCGCGCGTCAAGGACGCGATTGATCGACCGAGATTACATGAGGTCTTGTCCTCAGACGGGAAGATTTGGCAGATCGGATTCGATTGTTAAAGCAATTTCGGTGAGGACATCCAGAAGACGACATGACCACGAGGATACGTTTGCTTCTGTTGTTGGTTCTCTTCGTGGGATCGTTGCACGCTATTCCTGGCAAATTCAGCGGTATGTGGACTTGTTTTTCTCGATTGGCGTCCGGTGTTGTTAATCCGGCTTCACAGAATGGAGAGTGAAGTAGTGTGTGGATGTGACGCGATGTGATCTGGTTTCGACGGCTTGTCGATGATTTCGGCCCGGAGTGGTTCTGCGCCGCAATTGTTATCCTGGGGATGAATTGATCTCTCCGTGATTCAGCGATGAGAAATCACGTTTTTCCTCGCACTTTTGAAACGTCTGAAACGTGGACATGGCAAAATGTATTCACATCACGCGTTTAGTATTACGAACTGTTGCTATTCGGTCAAAATTCATTATTGAAATGTTACCGAAATAATGTATGCAAACAATGAGGATTATATGCCACAAAGATTTTTATAAATTTATATAATACAACATTATAACATTTGTAATCTCCGTATTTAAAAAAATATAGATTTAAAGTGATTTAGAAATAGATACACGTTTTTTACTCGTTTTGAATATAATGTATTTAATATTCTTTTTCATCTTGTCAAATTATTTAATGTAATCCTTTTAGAATTGAATGTACATAAATGTACATACATTAAGAAGATACATACTTCGTATCTTCTTAACACATTTGCGCGCTTATAATAACGTATTAAATTATGTAAATCACTTACAACCATGTCATCGTTACTATAATGATGTTATAGTCTTTATCATATAATTATTAATTAATTAATATTAGTATCACCAACTTTCAGTCTAATCGATGAAGCCATTACACTCCTAATATCATTACATTTCGTCAGACTAAACTATACTTACCGGTCCCTTAATTAACTTATTTTTGCTTCTTTTAACTTTTTCTTCGGTACTTTCACCAATTCTAGAACTCGTTCCTTTCATCACTTCCGTCACTTTTGATTAATCTGAAATAATTTACTTTGACCATTAAATTTATTTCTTTTCAAATATCGATTGTTTGAATTGAACAATATATATTAATTATATTCTTATTTATTAAAATGTAAAGTTATTCAGTAAAACAAAAACATTAAAACATGAGATGTATAGTATGTATAAAATTCTTATATAAACAAAAGATAAATCAATTTAACTTTAATAACCTTGAATAATTTTTACAACTCTCATCGCAAACAGAAATTGTTAAATATGCATTGTTTTCGGCTTTAGCGCATAACTGAATAGTATTACATTTTTTAGAAGTTGTACACAAATTCTCCAATATTTTTAGTATTTATATTTTTTATTTAAAGATATTTTTATAATCATGATTTTGCAAAGTTTTATGTACTGTTTTCATTTAATTTAAGAGATTGATAAAGTGAAAGGCAGTTGCATTTAATTTAAAGTTGATAAAATATCTTAGTTAATTGTAAGAAATAGAATAGAATTTGAGAATATATATTACATATAATTCTTTTCATTGAATTTCCGTTTAAATTTCAAAAGGGATCTCTGTACATTCATAAAACTTAATTTGTTTTTATTAGAAATCTGTTTATTGACCGTGATCATAGTAATAAGTTCATTGATCTTGGAAGTATAGTCGTTGGACAAGTATATAACTTTATTCGCCCCAAGGAATAATCTTTTCTTTGGTCTCATTTTCCTTCGACATATTATATAAACACTATGCAATAGCAACGCGCACTTTCGTAGTATCTTTTATCTAACTGGTTATTTTAACAATGTCAACGGACGATAAAAATTTATAATTTTGAAGTGTCAGATACAAATACGTAAGATAAAATTTTTAAATGTCCGTTCGTGTAGTTCTTTACTATTGCCACAATAAATTAATCAGCTTGTGTTTTTTGTGAGTTGTCAGCAAGTTTCATTGAGGCTATTTGTGCCACGGGGAACGTGCGCTCGTTTCGTATGAATGTTCCCGCGTCCGCAATTTACGGTGCGGTAATTAAGGAGTTAGCACAATGACGTTATTCTATCGAATTTCATAATCTTACGTGCCGGTAGTTCGCCTCGCGTTACGCTCAGCCGCCGGTGGTCCGTTGCACTGCAATGCACATGATTTACTTCACGGAGCGGAAGTGCAGCACGACACGAGATACTCTCTCCACTCGCTGTATACGAGGCGTTGCACTTGTACAGAACTCGCATGCCATTCTTTCTGTCTCCCTCACTTCTATACCGTAATATTCTTCCTGCGAATGTTTCCTCCTCTATCGACTCCCGGGCTAACGACGCATATCCTGGAGTCTTATCTCACACGAAAGGCTTGAGAGTTGCCACACGCCCGTCACGCTTGAAAAGACTAATTTCCCAATGATTCTGACCAGAAGCCAATAGCATGATGAGATAGAATCTTATATTTTTTTACGAACTCAATTGTGAATATGTACGTAAATTTTTACTATATACAAGAAAAATAATTATTTACAAGTGATGTCTAAAATAAGCAATTACAACATTGAAAAAGATATTTTTATAGAATATAATACATTTTATACAAATACACAAAGATTTATAGTGATAAATATTTTTTTATTAAATACATTATTTTATATTGCTTTGATTAGGAAAAATTTAAATAATATTTTTGTAAATAATAATAATATTCTATTCTCTTAAATAGTATCAAAGAAATGTGAAGGGTACAAAAATTTTAATGAAAAAACATAAAAAAGATTACATATTTTGCTTTATTTTAATAACATTTTATTAAAATTTATGTTTATCTAAAGTAAACTTTTTAATTCAGCTCCACTTTTATTATTAAGAATTTATATAAAATTTCGTGTTATAGTTTACGTTGTAATACGGAAGGAACATTTCTAATTATTGTTATGATTCGTAAAAGAAGATTTACTAGCTCTTATGTTTCTCAGCGTTGTCTCTTATACCAATATTTCCTTGTTGCAACCTGGGCTAACGACTTATATCCCAGCGCATTATCTCGACAGACACGCGCTCTTTACTTCAACGTCGTCACGCTTAAAGGAGCTTAATTTTTTAATACGCAAAGTTGTCGCGATTGAAAGCAACATTCTATTTCCGTTAAAAAGTTATTGAAATAGCAAGAAGTCTTGAAATATCGATGAATTTATAATTATTTTACAGTTTATAGTGTAATACTTGGCATACTGCAATCTTTATATATATTACTTACATTTTTATGCCTGTATAGCTAAGATTATTTACAGCTGATTTTATCAATATTTACTTTGATAATTTTTTCAAATATTTTTCAAATAATTGTGCACGTAAAATTCATTCATTTTAGACAATTACAGTACAACTATTTTCCAAAATGAAGACTATAGTTATAATAGATGTTAGATTAAGATACAAAATTAAAATAAGCTGCGTTACAGCTATCTATTTAGTAAGAAAAATGATAACAGAGCTGATTTGATAATCGTAAAAAGTAAATTACAATAAAGCTTGCAACTTTATCTGTCTTCAATTGCATTAACTCGCGACACTGTTAGCAAAGCCAGTGCCGTTGGACGTTCAAACGATGCTTTTTGTTTTATCGCGTTGGAATTCCAGATGGTGAGAGTATTACGCGGCACTTGCACAAGTGTACGTGCTCCTGATTGTGGTTTCAAGAGGAAAGCTCGATCTTTGCTGCAATGCCGTCGTCGGCGTGCTCGGTCTGCGGCGGGCCGCGGTAAAACAAAACCGAAATTAGATAACGCCATCTGACCATACCGAATACACCACTGCGAAATCGTCGCACCTTGCAAAGATGCAAATCATCAGTGCATCGCATCAAAATACAGATGAGATCAACAAATATATAATCTACAAATGTAGATGAAGCGAAACTTCAATAGTGTTACATGTTACATATTTCAGACATATTTCAGATCTTTTTTAAACAATCTTGCTTTTTTTTAAACGTAAAATATTGTTAATTATATTTAATATATGTTGTTTAAGTCAATTTTTAATTTTCAAATTACTTCTTTTAATTGTCAAGGAAATAATTCTGAATTGAAAGAAGTAGTAAAGTGAATTTTTAGGATATCATTAAATAAATTTTATAATCTATTGAAACTAATAGAATTTTTTAATTTTGATAATTATAATATTACACTTTACATTTTCGAGCATGCTTTAATAAAGTTTTTGAAACTTTGTCCATTGATTATTTTTCTTGGAAAATTCAACTTGAAAAAAATTCTTTAAAAATAAAATGATACTATTTGTTCCTTAGAGATTTTATGTGTATTATTTCAATTAAAAACAGATATTCACGTAATTATTATCTAGATGAACCATCGGCAATTGGCCATTTTCGTAATCCAGCTGCGCGTAGCACATATATCAAAACAGGTACTTTGCATCTATTAATTACTAGCAATCGTTTTGCAATAACATTATTTGCTTGGACAGATAATCTTGCGGTGGTGAATCCATCGTGGGAAAATTCACCGCGGAACATGTTATTGCGTTTATGGGATTAATTACGAAACGAATGCGCCTAAACAGCCCCGCGTTATGCCCAGCTGGCGCACTCATTATCTAATGGCGTACGCTGAATTTATCACAGTTTAATTACGCCGTCAACAGTCGGCGCGTTTTGCCGTCGTGAAATATGATTATATGTCTGACAATAGGATAACATAATCTGCTTCCGACCGCTTACAACAGCCGAAATGTGCTCTTAATGGCGCTGCAGCGAGCATCATTCTAGTCATGTATTATTTTATAGATGTGCCAGAATGTTGCACGTGTTGTTAATGTTACAATCTGCGTATAAAAGTATAATAAAAATATAATAATTTTGAAAAAATAAATACGTTGTATATATAGCATAAATTTTTTTATATTAAATTAATACACAAATACAATAAATAACAATCATAAGATACAATTCTTTTCTAAAAATAAAGAAAAAAAAGTATTTTAACTCGACGGTATATATTCAATAAATATCTATACAATTTATTAAAAATAAAAATTATTAATGAATTAGACATTAGTAATAAATAATTAATTGTAATTTTTGTTTATCCAAATGACAGATTTCCATTTATTTTTATATAAATACATAACAGTTTAATTATATACTTATGACGCTACTTATTTAATATTCATTTACAATGATGAATGTGATAAGAGGGAAAAGTTATTTTAATAATAATAATTTAATAAATAATAATTATTATATATAATAATTATTATAATTATATAAATAATAATTTAATAAAGTTATTTTAATAATCATACTGAAATCTTTTTATTACTACAGTCAGAATATCGGAAAATATCTATGAAATTACCATTGTGACTGTTTTTATTCACGATAAACAGAAAAGTTATTAATAAAAAATAAATTAATTATGATTTTTTTCAACCAAATGGAAAATTTTTATTTATTTTTACACAAATATATAATAATTTAATTAACTTGTGCTTGTACTTATACTTATGACATACTATTTTAATTCATCTAATATTTATTTCACATGACGAATGAGACATGCCACAAGAAGAAAAGTTATTTTAATTTAATAATCATAAATGAAATTTTTTTATTATTATATACAGAATATCGGTGAATATCTATGAAATTGCCGTCGTGACCTTTTTATTCAAGATGAACAAAAAGGAAAGATTATCGTGTAGAACCATGCGAGAAAGAAGTTCAAATGGAAAGAGAATGCGGTGAAGAACGTCTGCTCACGTTTCGCCGCGCCTCTTTCCGATCTACTCACTATCCTGCGTCGGTTTCACGTGGCTATCCACGTGTTCTTGTCACGTCCGGCTAGCATTTCAAACATGTCTTACGATCATTGCAAGTTATTCCAACGTAAGTACACATAGATATATGTCTCTAAAAGTGTATAGCGACATGCTTTGCAGCAAGTACAGGGCTGTCTTACTCTTCTTCCAGAAGAAAAACAAATGTTTGAAATTTAAAATCTGGAAAAAGATATAAGAAATAAGTTGTTTCCAAATAATAGAGAAATTATTTTCAATATATATATTTATATTTAAATATATATTTATTTTAATAATAATTTGTAACAAGTACATCATTGAATATTAAAAATTTATAAAAAGAAAAAATACAAAGAAAATTTATTTCATGCAAATTTAAATAATATAGTCAAATAAAAATTATTTCCTTTTCCAAATTTATTATTTATCCTAAAACTATTGATAATTTTGATTATTTATTTTTAATTTTCATGAATGAATTAATTAAATCTATAAAACCAAGCATCCAAACAACTTTATATAAAGACAGCCCTGAACAAAATGAAAGGTTAAAGTCCCATAGGACATCAGCGAAGACCGTAAAATGATATCAAATTTGTGACGTAACCGGAACAAGGGTGGAGGGCAAAATAGCTTCATCGCTGCATTGTTATCGAGAGCTCGTCGAAAATAACTTGTCTTGCAGGAATGAATTTCTGATAAATTGGATTTATATACATAATACATATACATATATATGTATATATATATATGTCATTCATAAACTGTATTCATGTTAAAAAGCATAGAGAAATGCGAGATATAATGTTTCAACATGAAAGCTAATAATTTGCCTGATTCACATTTCTTAGCTTTACATGCTGAAAAAACAATATGAAAACTTTTAAAAAATAAATCATGTAAAAGTAAACTATAGAAAAGAATAATTGTAATTAATTTACAAAATTTACATGATTATATAAGCTTATTATTTATATTTGTGTCTTATTATATAAATATATAAAAATAAATATATAAATAAGAATTAAAAAGTAAGATCTATTTTATATAATATTATTTATTATCCTTGCTATATTAAATTCTATATTAAGTATTTTTTTCTATAAGGATATTTATCTCTAGTTTCGACATAATGACTATTATTGACTATTCAATATAAAAGTTATTAGTGTAAAGCTATTGCGAAAGTTTAAATGATAAAAATTATATAAACATAATTATAGAAAAAAACTTAGAAGAAATAATTTAAATATTTCGTCATATATTACCCATCTTCGAAATATGTAATGAAATAATATGGCTCTGCCTTTTTTGCAACATCAAGATCCCTGTTATTTTCTCGCGACGCTTGGAGGACATTGAGATCGTTAACCAGAGGTGTAACCGAACGATGCCAAGTTGGCGATGCAATTTCTCATTGCGCT